TTTTTTTCTCCCGCTTCTGACAGTTATGTTTAATTTTTATGTTAATTGTCAAGGATTCTTTGCACTTTATTAACACCTGAGGGGGTTAAAACATTTTATGAATTATTTTGTACTTCAAAAATGACAGCCATGTTAAGGGGCTTTATGTATTTCTGACTTTGGAGTCTTTCGATATTGAAATGTAGCAACACTCTCAACACAGAGCAATTACTGTTATGCAGATTAAATATGAATCATGGTAGATCTGATGATTAAAACAAAATGCCACACAATAGGCAGATTTAGTTTTTTGCTATTCTGAGATCATACGTAATAAGCTTCATTTTGCTTGAGGTGCGCTTTATAGAAAGATGAAATGTTAAATAATATTAAACTAAATTATTTAAAAAACTAAATAAGAGAAATATGGTTTCTATAACTTCTTTTGCTTGACTGAAATGGTAAGCCTTTGCAAGAAGTGAGGATTTGTTTTTTTGTAAAATGTAAATAAACTGTCTTTACTAATTAATGATTGGTGTTTTGTGGTTATACATTTTCAGGTTTGTGCCAATTGATCTCCGTGGAGGTGATTGTTTTAATTGGATTGATTCTGACTGGAGCAGGTGCAGAAAAACTTGCTTGAGGCCACGTTTGATTTTTCAACCAGACAGATGGGCCACATCTTTTTGTTGACGTTAAAAGAAGTTAAATTATGTAAAATATTACCGGTATTTAATAATGGAATATTGCGTGTTAATTCTCTGTTATTGATTGTAATTAATAAAAGTCTAACAGTTTAATGAGATAAATTAATAAAACAACGTTAAGAAAGACGTTATAATTCACAAATTTGGTGGGGTAAAAGCAAAATTCTAGCCAAAAAAAAAAAACAATACCCAATAAAATAGTTATTATTGTAATTCTAATAAGGTAAATTAACTGATAAAAAAATACATGTAGTCAAACAATCATTCACACGCAGATTCATCCCAATGAAAAATGTTGAAACTTCAGTGAATTTAGCATGCACGTTTTACGAATGTAGAAAGAAGCCGGAGAAAATATACGCAAGTACAGTTAGACCATGCAAACTCCACACAGGATTCTTCCTGTGCGGAAATGTTTAAAAAAGATTTCCTTGTCGGTAGGCAGCAGCATTGTGCTTAAAAAAATAACGAAGAAGAGACATGCACGGAAATTACGGCAGTTCCGTTTCCCAAGCTAGATAAATAAACAAAAGGAACATAAAATTCGACCATTTTGGCTCATTCACGGTTAAAGAAATGCTTGTTGTGAATTATGTAATTTTGCCGCGAGACCTCATGTAGGGAGCTTAGGCCGAGGAGCACTAATTGTCAGGATCGCTGTTGCTAGCTGGTTAGCATGACGAGCTCGACATGTTTATTTTAGTACCGAAGCGACGGCACACGACATGATGGCATGATAACCTCGCACTATTAGCAAGCAGCTGCGCTCCGCTTCGCTGTAAGGTAACCCGTGCAGACCGCGAACCGGTAAAATTAAAATAATTTGCTAAGTGGCTAACAGTGTTGTGTGATGCATTGTTTTCCAGTTGGGCGAAAGTTCAATGCACCACTAATATTCCCGTTAGAACTTTTCTTTTTCGCCATGATTACCTATTCTTGCCTCTTTAGAAAAATAATTTCTACAGTTATGTGGAAATTTAATTTAGTGTTCTTCGCCGAAGGTTGAAACTTGATCGAAGGTGCTATCAGGACCGAACCCCATTGAGATTTACACACAGTCATCATGGCATGGGCTCTGAAGTTGCCACTCTCCGATGAAGTCATTGAGTCCGGACTGGTCCAGGACTTTGATGCCAGCCTGTCGGGCATCGGTCAGGAGCTCGGTGCTGGCGCATACAGCATGAGGTACTGAAGCTGTATTAACTTAACAGGACACTCATCCTAAAACTGTTATTATGCAGTCACAACTGTTGTCACAATAATATTTCTGGGGATGCCAATCACTTTGTCATTGGAATATGAGGTTGTCAATGGACGTGTCCTTAAAGCCAGCCACACACTAGGCAACGTGACCGGGGGGCACTAAACATTAAGTTGCGCTGCGGCATGTGCATGGTTGTGCAACTATTTGTTATCACTTGCGAACCATCCGCAACTAACTTGGCTGCAATTCCGACCCTTCAAGTGAATGGCGTCGCACCGTCACAGACAGTTACGGCCAATCACAATGCTTGGATATATCACGTGATTTTGCAAAAAAAAAAAAAAAAAAAATTACGGTGGTTGGTGTGCGTGGTATCATCCGCTGACTATGCTTTGTTGGCTGTTGCCCATTTCCTAGTACGGGACTCCAGACAGCCCTTAAATGGTGGCATTTTGCCACTTAGAGTGCAACAACAATTTTAATTTACTTGCACCAGTGCAACCAGTATATTTGCTGATTTTTTTTTTCATAGTTACAATTCTTGAATGTGTTTTGCTGCTGACACATTTCTGCTTCACAGTTAGGCCAATCTATCAGTAAGATAAGGAAAATGAACTTTGCAAGTCAATTTACAGTGTGTGCCCCTAAATCTAGTTAGTCAGCAGTCCTGAAATTTAAGGAACTTGCTACACCCCCCCCAAAAAAAAACCCTAACCCCTGCAGTCTTTTTAAAATAAAATTTTCCAAAATGTTGTTTTTACACGACATGCTCTTTTAATATTTTTAGTGAGCTACTTTTTTTCACTTTGCTTTTAAATGTGTCACTGTTTTGTTTGGAAATGCTTTCAAATATTGAATTTTTAATTATGTGAAGCAACTTGTGTCTGAAATGCGTATTGATAAAGCTGGTCTGACCTAGTACACAGACATATTCTGCCCCCTGTTTCATTGCCAAGCTGCTTTGCTTCCTGATCTACTGTTTGTGTTGTAAATTACTGTGTTGAGAAGAGAGGTGCCTGGATACTTCGGTATTTGGTAGCGTTGGCTTGATTTTGATTAATGAACTGCAGTAGGGAATGTCCCATAGGGAATAAAAAGTTCCACGCGTGAATCCGTTGCACTCCTATAAATGTACTAACAGTTGTTGTGTGTTTGTCTGACTTGTAGCGATGTACTCGCCCTGCCCATCTTCAAACAGGAGGAGTCCAACTTGCCTTCGGACACTGACAACAAGGTCCTACCCTTCCAGTATGTTCTGTGTGCCGCTACCTCGCCAGCTGTTAAACTGCATGATGAAACACTCACCTACCTCAATCAAGGTCAGCACATGGGTATCAGCCGTTGTAGTTAATACATTACATAATGGTAACTCCGATTTGTAAAGTGCTGAATCACCACAAAGTGTGACTGATAGCTCCAGTATGTTGGATAACAGTAGAATCTCCGTTGTTGTCCATGGTGGTGGAATTTGGACTGAAGCCAAAGTTTCATGAAAGAAAAAAAAATCTTCAAAGCAAAGTTACACAAAAAAATTTGGCAACTCTTAGGAGACGAACAGTTCTCCAAATGACAGGCAAAATGTTCGCGCTCCAAGCTCTTCATTTGTTTGTTGATTAAATCTTCATTTAAAATACTTTCAACATAGTATCATTGCATTTTGTGTTAGATAAATAGAAATCACATATTCATTTTCCACAAACTAATTGTGCCATACAGTTGATAACAAACGTACTTTAACTACTGGAAGCATGATGATTTAAGACTAGGGTTGTGCATCTCTCCAATACAAGATGATTCCATATGTGGACCAAACAAATTCCTTTCAGGGTTTTGAAATTAGAGCAATTTGGAAGTCAACCAATGTCACAGAATAGATAGTTTCAGACATTGGATGTCCCCCTGAATTAGTTAAGATCAGAAAGTGCAGTGGTTTTCTATGTTGACCATATGTTATTAATACCCTGTGTACTTGTCATTACAGGGCAGTCCTATGAAATTATCATGCTTGATAATCGAAAAATTGGTGAACTTCCGGAAATCTCTGGTAAAATGGTTAAGGTGTGTTACTAAGGCGCCTCTGTACAATTTATTTGATATGTTTGTGTGTTATTTTTAGCTTATCAAACTTATTTTGCCTAAAAAGGCTTAAAAAAAAAGACGATTGATTTACTGATAGAAATGTGGCATTATTTTTTATCTTTTTTCACTTTCTCTGGTCCAAATCAATTGATGGCTTTGTCATCTGATTATGATAACCAAACTTTAGTCAAGATTTGTTTTTGAGGGTGACAAATATAGATATTACGTCATTGGGAGCCGGACAAATCAAAATAGTTTTCCTTAATCGCTGAATTCCTTTTCCCACCTTTTCAGCAACATTAACGCAAATCTCTGTCGTAATGCAAATGTCTCTCATACGCAGAGCATCATTCGTGTGGTGTTTCACGACCGCCGACTTCAGTACACGGAGCACCAGCAGCTGGAGGGCTGGCGCTGGAACAGGCCCGGGGATCGCATTCTGGACCTGGGTGAGTGTCTTAGAAAGGTAGAAAGGTCATTGACGGTTGCTGTTGCCGACTGCTTTTGTATATTTAATGAAAGCCGTGTTATTGGAACAGATTGTTCATTTCCTTTTGGGAAACGCTGAGCATTTTTAGATGTTAAGAAAAAAAAAGCAACCATTAACAAAAGCTTTGAGCCAGTGAAACAGAAAATTAAGACATTGGTATAAAGTATTTCCACCACTCACTGTTGTTTTGAAACTACCGCCTAATATTTGGAACCGCAGCGGATAAAGTATTGCCTTGCTTTTGGTTAAAAGCCTGTTGTGCCTTGATCTGTTGCAGATATCCCCATGTCAGTCGGCATGATCGACCCACGGGCTAACCCTACTCAGCTTAACACTGTGGAGTTCCTCTGGGAACCGTCAAAAAGAACCTCCGTTTTTATCCAGGTAGCATGAGCGCCCTGATTGACTCCCTCTTCTTGATATCGTTGCAACACATATGGCACAGGTGTCAAACTCAAGGCCCGGGGGCCAGATCTGGCCCGCGAAAGCAAATCAAACTTGTCAACTTCCATGATGCTCGCTACAATCTCTACCAAAATTTAAAATGTTCTGATGTAATAAATAAGAGACACATTGTTAGCGTTTTCTTGTAACCAAACCACTCAGTAACTTAAACAATAGTTGAATAAACAGTTATGATTGATTTTTTTTTTTTGGGGGGGGGTAAAGGGCGTTCAGTTATAATGGCCCTCCAAGGGAAACGGTAACTAAAATGTGGCCCATGATAAAAATGAGTTTGGCAACCCTCACATATGGGAAGATTATTCAGGTCAATTGGTAAATCAGAGTACTCTACAGAAAACAAAAAAAAAGTTTTCAAAGAATTGTTGACCTCGAGATATAAATTCATGAACCTTGATGATTGTACATCTGGATGTGTTGAACAACTCATGACAGCGCTAGTCAAGTTCAATGGCTGTTCACGTGGCAATGTACTGTACACCAGGGGTCCCCAACCGCCGGTCCGCGGACCGGTACCGGTCCGCAGGGCATTTGGTACCAGGCCGCATAGAAAGAACTTGCCTTAATTCCGTTTTATTTATTTCGGAATACGAAAGATGTTTTATTTTGAAAAATTACCGGATTCTCCATTACATCCGTGTGTGTCAGGCTTGACACACGTCAAGCCACGCTTCTCCGTCACGTGACCGATTCCGCTGAAAAACAAAACACCAGAGCTCGCAAAATGAGTAAAAAAACTGCTGGAGATCAAATGACGGCGGCCTTAAAAGTACGTTCGAGACAACTGGATTAAAGTTATGGCTGAATATTCTGAGATCGCCACAGTAGCACTGTTGCTATTTCCGACATGGTACCTGTGTGAGGCGGGGATTTTCTGCAGCAACGGCGACTAAAACAAAATTACGAAGTAGACTTGACGTAAAACACACACTTGAGGTGTCGTTGTCTCCTATTACCCCGAGATGGGACCGTCTGGTTGCAGAAAATCAAGCTCGGGGCTGTGGTGAGTCGTCATTTTCATGCACTTTGAATTTGCATTGTATCGTATTTTGAAGGCATTAAACATTACCAGAGCGATCAGAGTGTTGCGGCCAGATTAGACGCTCCTTGTGTTTATTATTATATTTCGAAAACACCACAGTTTTCATGCAGCTCATACCATATTATTTTGTTGTATTATTTCCGCCACACCTGAAATGCCGGTCCCTGAAAATATTGTCTGACATAAACCGGTCCGTGGGGCAAAAAAGGTTGGGGACCCCTGCTGTACACAACTAAGTGTAATGATTTGTCACGCTTATGTCTCATTTCTGCCTCAAATCGTCTGTCTGGTTTTCAAGGTTCACTGCATCAGCACAGAATTTACCATGCGCAAACACGGCGGGGAAAAGGGGGTTCCATTCCGCATCCAGATCGACACCTTCAAAGAGAACGAGAGCAGCGAGTACACCGAGCACCTCCACTCCGCCTCCTGCCAGGTCAAAGTTTTCAAGGTGATGAGTAGAATGACGAGAGCCCTGACGAGACAAAATTCACTCGTTTGTCGATTTATGTGGATGTGCAGTCAGGTCAGTGACTGGATTGTCACCTCTTTTAGCCTAAAGGTGCGGACAGAAAGCAGAAGACCGATAGGGAAAAGATGGAGAAGAGGGCACCACAGGAGAAGGAAAAATATCAGCCCTCGTATGAAACTACGATCCTCACAGAGGTTAGTGTATTAATAACCTTGTTTTGATCTTCACGAAAATAAATCAACGCTTTATTTAGAGTGGCACAGAAATGTGTCCTGATCAAATGTAATGGGAGTATTGTTGTTGCCAAAATGATTCCAATGAGTGCTCTGTGTACTCACCTCTTGTTCCAAGTCAGCTATTTGCAAAATGTAGCGAATAGACCACTTGCGTAATTCTTTTGTCAAGTCATTTCTGAACAGGAAATCTTAAGTCTGTGAACAACTCCCTAAATGCCTCCTTAACCTTCCTTGTTCTGTTGGACCAGCAGCCTTGGCCCCACAATGCACAACAGGCCCACTTGATGCATTAACAGAACCTTTGGACTCTTGACAGTGTTCCCCCTGGCCCGAGGTCACCTACACCAACAACTCTCCATCACCGGGCTTCAACAGCACACAGAACAGTTTCCCAGTCATAGAAGGGTGAAAAGTTTTCTTGGCACCATCTCGTGCCCCGTGGCTCCTTCTTATTTCCTAACACACTCTTTGCAATTGTTTTTTTTTTTTTTTTTAATCCTTTTTTAGAAATGGATCACCAAATCACCAGCCTGAGCCTGTTGTTCAAGTAGCTGACGTAAGTTCAAGTGATGTGAGAGTATTGCCAGTATAAAAGCATGCGTCGTGATTAAAGCCTTAAAATAATTGCAGTTCCACTTCTCTTCAAAATGTGTAAGAGAGAAATGTTAAAAATATAGCACATGAAAGGATGCAGGAATCTGGCTCACGTGGATAAACACTAGCCGGGTTTACATGGAGACTTTCTTTTTGGCTTTCATATTAAAATCATTCCGAATGATGATCCCGGACACTTTTTTTTTACATGTTATGTGATCTTTTCTGATCTCCTGTTTGTTTGCCTCGTTAATCAAGATCGGCTATGTGACGTGATTTGTCAAGATGGAGTTCATTCATCTGTTTAGCACAGTAGTTATGATTAACACTTTTATTAAAGCAACATATTGATTCAAAACGAATCACAAGTACTTTAAAAGAAGTTCTCCCGTCGCAGAAGAGCTCTGGTATGTTGCTGCCGCTTTCAAGTGCGTATCCGACAACGTCACAGCGTATTGACATTAACAGAGCATGCGCAGACTGGACGCAGCTTGGCTATTTCGATTGGGCTGTTTACGTGACGCCCGTTTGGATGGGCAAAAGGAATAGACCCTCCCTGTGAATCCGAATGAAATTCAATTTCGGGTTGGCCGTTATTCTGATTGGAGTGTTTATATGGAGCATTTTCATTCCGTTAGGTCATTTGGATTCATTAAGCATTTTATGCAAAAACGGTGGAGCTAGCAAGGTGGTGTAGTTTAAGTGTATGAACTTGTTCATAGCTGTTTGAACCAAGATAGCAATAGTATTATCATAGGCCAAACTTTTAGCAAACGTTACATTGTATTTAGTGTTTATCAGCATTTTTAAAACTAGTTTTGGGGCTGAAACTATAGTTTTTTTATCCAAATGCATTTCAGTGGTGTCACTTATATGTGGATTTTCGCAATTTTTGGCCTGGATTGATCCCTCTCGCCTGCGAATCGCGGAGTTCGACTGTCCAGTACTGTAAAAACACAAGTTGTTAAAATAGATACTGTATATTGCTCCATCTTCCGGGTCACGCGGAGTTCACAGAATACATGAACCAAACACAAGTATAGGAAAGTGCAAGCAAAAAAGAATAGGTTCAAGGTTAGGAAATATAATATTTGCTAACATGAAAAGAATCTACCGTCATAAAAATACAAAGCAATGTGATAAATTGTACGAATAAGAAAGTTTCCTTTACACCTGCCAACCTGCTGTAGATGTTTGATAGAGGCACCAAATTGCAAACTTGTCCACTTCCTGCATAATATATTTTGCATTATTCATTTAGATATTAGAGAGACAAACGCAGTGTCGAGGCAAATAATAGAGTGGCAATTTGAATTCCACTGCAGACTGACTGCTCTCAAAGTGCCCCGAGCAAAGTAATAAAACTCAGTTAAGGGGTGCAGTCGCCATTAGCGCATGTCATTCATCCTTTAGTGTGGCGTGCATCAAAAATATAAAATGAAGGAATAAATAATCTTGACAAGATAGTTGATTAAGAAGTGATAAATGCTCATTGGGCAACATACAGTGACCTCTTTGGGCGTTGGTGACGTGAAAAAAAAAGATGCCAGTTTACTTGTTGAGGCTGATAAAGTGACTTTATTTCCCTTTTAAGAATTTGTTACCTGCGGCGACGCCACAAGATGCACAACAGTGGCTTCTCCGAAACCGCTTCTCGCCCTTCTCTCGTCTCTTCACCAACTTCTCAGGTACAAACTCATTGACCGCTGTGGATCGCAGCAAGAATTGTGTTGTGTGGAAAACAAATGGGCTCCAAATGGTCCACAACCATTATAGGTAATGACTTTACTGACCCGTTTTTAGTATATTAAGTTTTGATTTGTAATCACCAGGGGCAGACCTGTTGAAGCTGACCAGGGAGGATGTCATTCAGATCTGTGGCCCAGCAGACGGCATACGACTATTCAATGCACTAAAGGGACGGTGAGTACATTTAGACACCGTGGCAGTCTTGCGCTCGGTAATTGGAGAACGGAAGTAACGGAAAACGGACCTTTTAATTGTTCTGCTGTCTGTGTTGCGCACAGGGTGGTCCGTCCGAGGTTAACCATCTACGTGTGCCAGGAATCGCAGCAGGCCCGTGATCAGCAGATCAAACATGAGAACGGAGATGCTGCAAACATCACTTTCTTTAGTCAGTGCACATTACCTTGTTTCCGACCGTAAAAAAGAAAGTGCAGTAAGAACATAGGAGCTTTGGATGGAAATTTAAAGATTTTTCCTGAATTGAGAATGAAAGATGATTAAAGATGATTTGACAATTTATTCTGCTCGTTTGTTGTACCAGACAGTCCTTTACCCAAGACAGCATGTATTTCCTCTGTATGTTCTGTATTCCTAGAAAGAATTATTGATTGACACGGTTTGTATATCCTGCTTGCAGTATATCATGCAATCTACCTGGAGGAGCTAACTGCTACCGAGCTGACCGAGAAGATCGCTCAGCTTTTCAACATCTCACCCCGACAGATCAACCAGATCTTTAAACAGGGCCCGACTGGCATCCACGTGCTCGTCAGTGATGAGGTGAGCTCCTGGCTGTTGACTGTCGTCCACCACGTGTCAGATATTCTAAACTCTTCTTTCTTTGACCTGGTATAAATAAACAATCCCTGAACAATTTGTGCTCCATAGATGGCTACAAATGTACTGATTTGATCTTGTCAGATACTGTATCTACGTCAGCCATCTTGTGTCACATATTCAACAGAAGTAAGCTTCTTGCTTTGACAAAGCTGTGCAGTAATCATCGGAATATTTGGTCAAGCGGTGACAATGTACCGATCAGATTTTTTTTTTTTTTTCAACAGAAGTAAGCTTCTTGCTTTGACAAAGCTGTGCAGTAATCATCGGAATATTTGGTCAAGCGGTGACAATGTACCGATCAGATTTTTTTTTTTTTTTTAACCTTAGCTACTTCCTCCACCATGTGTCCTATATAATTGAAAAGTAACCATCGGAATATGTGCACGGTCGATACAGAGATGAAAACAAACACTCATTTGCTCACTTGTTTTCTAAATTCGGTCATGTGATGTGATTGGTCTTGAGACCTGAGCAACTGTGATGGCTGCCCTATGAGATGGATCAAAACGGGTGGATTTTGCTGAGTAATTCCTCAAATGCAATATGAATCAGAATACTGAGTTTCGACTAGTGGGAGTTTGAAGAACATATTATTGTAACGATATTTTTTTCCAAGTCGAGCGACTTACCCTTTAAATAGTCAAATGTTAATTTCCACACTTCATTGGTGAGCAAACACCCCACTATTTATATCCAAATGATTAAAAAGTCTCTTTTCCATAATGGGTGCCTTTTAAAAAGTGCAATGGAGGCTACAAATATGAACACATTTAATCTTTGGCTACTTAAGCCACCGTCTGTGCCATTCAATCAAAGGCAGGAGAGTTCTATTTTTTGACACAAGATTTAAAGGTCGCATCGCCAGTAGATGTGTACTGATTTGTTCCCAATCTGCCGTCATTCAAAATCCTGAATGATGGTTGATGAAAGTGGTGCCATATGGACAGTATTTGCATTCATTAGTTTCTTTTGTTATCTGCCTGCATGCGTTGGTACACTTGCTGTTACACCTGAGTAATCTGCCTGCCCTTCTGCATTTTGAACATTTATCTTTCTTCTTGTATTTTTGTTTTTTTAGATGATTCAGAATTTCCAGGATGAAGTTTGTTTTGTTCTGGATACGATGAAGGGTATTTGACCTGTCAACATTTTCTCAGTTCCGTTTTTTTCTTTTTTTTTCTCCTGTGACTGTCATTGTTTTTGTTGCAGACGACTCAAATGACGGCTACCACATCATCCTGAAGTGAACCCGATCCAGTCGGCCCTTTCTTCTATCCAGCTTCACCCACCTTACGCTCTCCCGGATCACATGGAGACACCGCTTGAGGCTGCTCGGCAGAACATGAACCACCTGTCCTCTTCATGTCTTACTTGGGAGGGAGTGACTCTGTTACCCCGATGACGAAGTGTAGCTCCCCTTCTCAACCAGCCGTTCTCTCCCCAACATGGCTGCATTTTCCTCCTCCTTTGCATATGTCTCCGGAATGAGTTTGGCTGGTGTGACTGCCGCATCTGATGTGCTAAAGGTCGGCGCCTCAGAATCACAATTTTCTTTCTTTTAACAACAAAAAAAAAAAAATCCTAAACTGGAACTCAACTCAAATCAGTCCAAAGTGAATACACTGTGCTAGACTGGGATTGAGTTGAAAGACCAGCTAACAGCCAATTATTTCAGGGGTTTTAAGGGGAAATGGAATCCAGCTATTAACATTTCTAGCATCTACTAGCACTAATTCTGATTCTCTGAATAGTGACTAAAAACTTGGTGCGTGCAAATGATCAAGTTATTCAGCACAAAAAGCATTTTAAGTAGACTTTCTTCAACATTACATTTAAATAGATTTTTATGTTCGAGCAGTTTCCTAACAAAGCCCCCATTACTTTCAGCATTTTATAAGTCTTTATTTCTATCCATCCAAATGCTCGCAGTACAGGTAACATGGGGCACACCAAAGTCATGGGGGAGAGTTTTTACGTTTAGTCCTTGCTTTCAATTTGATGTTTTAGATATTCTTCCATCTCGTCAGCCTTGATGCGCACATCCATGTTACAATTCACCACGTTGTGTATTAAATACCAGCAAAAATAAACAGCTTTTCTAAAAAAAAATAAATAAAAAAATCATCATCAACAACAAATACCTTTGTCACTTATTGTAGTACTGTATGTGGTCCTCTTTGCACTTAAATCCCCGAGACACCAATTTCAGAAATCTGATGATCGTTGTAATAACATTAGGTTAGAAATGTACATCCATGAAGGTAAATATGCCCCAAAAAACGGAAATCACTCTGTTCAAATCATCATGACATATATTTGTACAAGAAGTCCTCCTATTAAACACAACTCCCTCAAATAAACATCTAGTACTCTGCAGTTTAGGAAATTAACATACTCTTCTGCACTATTTGAGCAAATACACTATATTGAGTTACGTGTTGTACGTATCTGTAGGTACAGTTGCTGTCGTGACTTTGAAGTAATATCAGGTTTACTGCAGGCTTATTTGGTCCATAAGGAAATTGTCAGTGGCCTGTTTTTCCATTTCAACTTTTTGAGCTGAGCCGGTCAGACACTTGTTCATTTTACCCCCATTTTTAATTGCCAATTTCAATGAGAAAAATTAATAAGATGAATAAGACGTAACCCCCACACACTCATTTTCCCGGCATCCCTTGGCGCAGAAGCTCCATATGACGTCACTGAGAGTACATATATCAGTCCACCGGGAGGAATTTCGGCCTGCCATTGTTACGATCTCGACACCTGGACCGGTACCGGTTGCGGGGCGAAATAGACTCCAAGCCCGTCTTCTCGCCCCAAAAACGGCCGCGACAGTGACGCCGCAACCGCGCGACGAGCGAGAAGACTCAGCTCGGCCCTGCGGACCGCTCCCGGCCGGGTGAGGATGTTGTAGAGGTGCCGAGCGAGGAGGGGCGGCTAAAGATGTCAGCGGGCTTCTCCATTTTAAAAGCCCCCGTCAAGAACAGGAAAATACTGAAGATTTAAAAAGCAATATCTTCATAAAGCGCACTGGTAACGTGAAGGCCCCCTTGATGTCCTTTTTAAACTACACGTTAAGTCGACTGCGGTGTTTTCCCCCCACGTTCTTCAGAACAATGAGTATAGAGCCCAAGTAGCCTCTTCCAGCCACACTGAAGAAGTGGTACGCATAGACAATCACTTGCAAAGGTATCGCTGCTGGTTCCCGCACCAAAAAGGCGTTTTAACAGGGTGTTTAACATAATCCATGAACAGAGAACAAGAGACAAGAGCAACGAGCTGGTTGCATTCAAGTTCCTCGTTTGTGAACCAGGTAAGAAAAGAAGCTTCTTTGTCATTGTGAGCGTGCCTAACACCCCTGCAGTGTGGACGTGAAAACTATTTTTGCATATCGATACAATCACTAAGTGCTCTCGTAAATCTAGTGCCTGTTCGAGCTACAGAGTACAGTGATGCTCCCGTTTAAGATTCTGTAAACTGCACCGTCATCAGCAGCTTCTATCTCGACTATTCATCCTTGATTAATTTGTTATTAATCTTTATTCTACAGTTACGTATTTTGTTGACAAGCCACACAAAGAAAATTACGTACAAATAAGCAATCCATATTTCCAACTGATATATGTATTTTTTTACTTTGAGCTTCTTATTGGATGGAAAAGGTTGACAGAAGACAATCCACTTCCAAATCCAATGAATGATTACTGCACACATCCAGACAGCTTCTCCAGGGGATTTAAATGCGGTAAAATTGCTGCAATACAAAGTCGCTTTATTTGTTTTGCTAGTTAAAAATGACAGCATCAATCAGGAGATGCGGCATTGCCCAAACTGATGGCCCAGCATCCCATCAGGAGATGCGGCATTGCCCAAACTGATGGCCCAATACAAATAGGGGATCTATTTGTATTGGGTCAGATTAAATGCTCTGCAGTATCTTCAAGTAGGCATACACTGTAATTTCCTGGTAAAAGCTCTTTATGATTTGTGTCTGTCAGTAACCATTAGTAGATTGATGGGAAGGCCAAAACTTGATACCCCGGAAGCTCTACAGTGGGAAAAGTTCCGTTCAAGAATGCTGGTTAACATCAGATTTGTTCCCATCGGAAATGATCAAAACAGAAATAATCCACTCCAAGGTCAACTGTCACCATCATAAAACCATTTTTATATACGAGGTGTTCAAGAAAAAAAATCCAAGGTTGGTGTCACAAAAGATATAAAATCCAAACTACAACAAGCTTTCCCCTTTGAAGAAATCTGCTGGGGTCCCAGTCTTGTCTGCTACACCTTTATGCATTCCTGGAAGGATTCTTTAACATCTTTGTGTCATCCACATCCTCAAAATGAGGCCCATAGATATCGTTCCCCCCCCCCCCCCCCCATGAGCCTGGTCAGGTGAGTAGGGAGATTGCTCCAACACAGCGATGTTCTTCTCAGTCAGGAACTGTAGGATGCTCAAGGGGCTGTCGGTGTTGTCATTGTGACACAGCCATGAGATTTAATAATCAGAATCCTCTTAATTGGCCAAATATGATCAGGGACTTTGCCCAGTAGTTGCAGACACTCTGGTACCACAACAGATAGGTCACCATGACAAAATGTACATTTAAGACAACACATAAACACAAATATCATCATTAAATAATGTAAAGTGTCCAGTAGTGCGGTGATACTGATGCAACCACAAATTTGCAAAGACCGCAGAGTTAATACAGGTTATTTAAGTTATTTATCTACTTCATTTAGAGTTGTTAATTTACTAAGTTGGCGCTTCGACTTGCAGTCTTTTAAGCATTCACAATGACAACTTCACAAAATTCTACCAAAACAAGTGTGACGTAAAGATAAGTCAGTAAGTCAGAAATCAGAATGGATTACAACAATAATGTAAACAAATATGTGGCTTTTAACTTTCGTGAACATGTGGACCGTACTTATGACACAATATAAATAAACAAACAAACAAGTAAATAAAATAGGGCAACACGGGAGTCGAATGGTTAGCACGTCCGCCTCACATTGCAGGGGTGCAGGGTTTGATTCCGGCTCCGGACTTCCGGTGTGAAGTTTGCATGTTTTCTCTGTGCCCGTGTGGCTTTTCTCTGGGTACTCTGTTTTCCACCCACATTCCAAAAACATGAATGGCAGGTTAATGGAACACCCTAAATTGTCCCTGGGTGTGATTGTCTACGTCTCTGTGTACCTTGCGATTGGCTGGTAACCAGTTCAGGGTGTCCCCCGCTTACTTGCCCGAAGGCTGCTGGGATAGGCTCCAGCACGCCCCGTGGCCCTTGTGAGGATAAGCGGATGAGAAAATGGATGGATGGATGGATGAATAAAATATGTATTAAAAAACAAAGACTATTGACCGAAATGAAGCAGAGTTCACCCCACCACTTTTAATAGTTGAATTCTACTGCATTGCACTGTCGATTTGAATACCATTGCCGGCAATTATTCAGCCCCAGTAGGAACCTTGGTGTGCCCAGCGGCATGGCAATTATGTCCATAGCCCTGGTACAGTGATTACGATTTCTGCGCAAGAAGGAAGGCATCCGATAGCCAAGCCCGAGGTGCCACGCAAAACTTCAACTTTCACAAGATAATAACAAGGAAACAATTAGCTGGTTTTCGACTTAAATGTGGGTGTTCTAAAATCTGCTGAAAAGCCACAATTTACTTCAGAGTATGTTTTTTTTTCCTCTTTATTTCCTTGCATTATTTTGGAGGCCAGAGCTATTAAAACAGTGCCAATGTTCAGACCATAAGAGAGACCCTTTCAGCAGTATGAAGTGTTCAGTAGTGTGGTAATTCTGACAACCGTAATTGTCAACATAAACATAGCATACCGTATTTGCTCTGCCCACTGCATTATCTCAGTCAACAGAAGAGAAACCGGTCTTTTTAGGATGCTTTTTGAGCACAACCTCTTTTCTTCATGGGCTGATGATGAAGTAGGCCCTTTGGCGTCCTCACATCCTGGTTATGTCACCATGGTAACAGTTGTGCTGTCTCTCGCCATCTCAAGGCTTGTCTGAAGAAATGTGAAACTTGGCCTGGTTCAAAATGCGCAGTCAATCATCAATTCTGGTTTAAGGTAATTGAAATGCGTCGTCAAAGCACAAGGATGAGCTTTAAAGGAAGGATCATTTTTATGTAACATGATAATTTAACTCTGCTTTGATGGATTTTACATGAGTTTAAAATGATGCGCTGTCATGTTTCCATTCCATTCGGAAAACACTGAAGTTGAATTTGAAATGCAATTCCACTTTAGCTAGTTGGCATCGTGATGTTTTCAGAAAAAATTAGTCTGAAAACCAAAGTTTAAAAAAAAAAGGTTTTGGTTACACAAAGCTAAAATATACCCTTCTACCTTTGTCTTTCTGTCTACTGTCATTTGTTGATTTTGTTCAGATAATTCATATTACCGAATATAATCCATCCATCCATTTTCAACACCGCGTATCCTGAAGAGGGTCGCGGGGAATTGCTGGAGCCTGTCCCAGCTGACTTTGGGCGAAAGGAAGACCGCATCCTGAACTGGTCGCCAGCCAATCACAGGGCGCATATGGAGACAAATGACCATTCACACCCACATCCACACCGCAACTGAGTGGGAACCGATCTCACGCTGCCCGCACACAAGTCAGGCGAGTGTAAACGTTGGAAAATGTTAAGAATGTTTGTGTCATGTTTTTCCTCCTCCAGAAACCACATTAAAACAAAGAAATATATTTCCCTCCCCCATCTTTTTCCATTTTTGAACATTTTTGAAAAAGCTCCAGGGAGCCGCTGGGGTGGCACTAAAGAGCCGCATGCGGCTCTGGAGGCACGGGTTGCCAACCCCCGCACTACACCATCAGCGACTGCTATTACCCAATATCTGTTGGAAATTAAAGTCCTCACTTGGGAAATTTTGTTTACGAAATACTGTTTATACTTTGCAGATAAACAAAAGGTTGGCCATATTCTATTGGTCTCTTCATTAATTGTCTCTAAATTGCCCATATGTGTGAGTGTGAATGGTTTGTTTGGTCTGCAACCAGTCCAGGTTAGACTCCAGCTCACTTGCCATTTTCATATGGTACAAATGGCTCAACGGCTGAATTAATATTCTCCATGGTTGATTGTGGAAATTTTGCTAAATGGCCCATCACTTGTCTAGACATCTAGCTGCAGTTTGTGATTCTACCAGTTTTCACCATAAAACTGTATGGATTCTCTAAGGGTTTTTTAGTTTTTAATTTAATGTTATTTTTTTGCCTTGGTGATGACTGGAGCTGCCCTGTACCCTCAGACACAGTTTCCATGGAGGCAGGTTCATCCCTCAGCCTCAAACGACGATATGAAGAGGTGGACAACGGCTCTCTCTTTTCGACACCCAAAGACTCTGACGATGATATCTCAAGCAGTGACAGTGCTGACAGCTGTGACAGCCTCAACCCCCCCTCCAGGACAGAATTCACTCGTAAGGAACAAAAGGAAAAAAAAAGTGCAAACATAACGAATAAGCATTCACTTCCATACTGAATGTCTCTTGTCCCCCAGCCACCTCAATCCTCAGACAACACAAACTGTCGCCGGGAGGCAAGCGGGTGCGTTTCGACGCGGTGACAGTGTATTATTTCCCCCGGAGGCAGGGCTTCACTAGCGTACCCAGCCAGGGGGGCAGCTCGCTGGGCATGGCTCATAACCACTCGTCCATCCGACGTTACACGCTGGGGGAGTTTGCTCGGGAGCAGGAGAGCAGTCACCGTCACACCTTACGCCAACACCTGCGGCAGGAAAAGCTCAATGCCCGCAAGCTGAAGGTAAGATGTTGACGCAAGCCTCGAAATGGCCACTTAATTAGGTACATTAGAAACCAGTCTGCGTCAAGTATTCTTTTGTTTTTATTTTTTTATCAGCCCCACCAAGCATTTACATTACGGAATATTATGGAGTCATATTACAAGAGTCTTTTGTTGTGTTACTTTTGTTTTATTTGCCCCCATGAAATTGGTCGATTAAATGTTGATGAACTCATGGGTGAGCTTCATTGAAGGAGGAAACCTACTGGCATATGTGAGAGTGCCCCTTTGAGTCTCCTCGACGCAGCACCTCCTCCCCCCCGCGGCTCGTAGGGGTTTCTGTAATGGAGAATAAAAAGGCCGAGTAACAGACAAAAAAAAAAAATGGCTGAAATCCTACGGAAACTACTTTTCGAGCAGAGGGTTTCAGCAGTTGAATCTCTGGGGGAGGCATCTGCTCAAGCAGTGTTTTCCTAACCTTTATCGAGCCAAGGCACATATTTCACATCAGTATCAATATTTGTTTTTACTCCACACTTTATTTACTTTCGCTGTGTTGATTGTCATACACAGCTGACCAGGAATGGCACAGTGGAGTGCGCCCAAGCCGAACTGCTGACTCTGGATGACGTTTCGGACGAGGACCTCGACGTGGACGCCGTGGAGGTGGACGACTGCTTCTTTCTTCAGCCGCTGCCCACTAAGCGTCGTAGAGCTCTTCTGCGAGCGTCCGGAATTGCTCGCATCGACGCCCGGGAGAAAACGGAGCTGCGAGCCATCCGCCTCTCCCGGGAAGAATGTGGCTGTGACTGCCGTCTGTACTGCGACCCTCGACACTGTGGCTGCAGCCAGGCTGGCATCAAGTGCCAGGTAGGATGGTCACCTTTTGAATTTGAAGTTTTTGTCAGTCCTGTCAAGATGTCGCTGATGGGAAGAAGTTGGATTTATACTGCACTGTTGAAGTAACACAATTCCAATTTGTTTTTGCTCTCAAGTGGCACAACTGGGATATGCGTCATCCAAGTATAAATAGAAAATAAACAACTAACTTAAGTCAAACTTTACTTCAGAATCAGACCCCTTCCAAATGTGGAAAATTATTCAATTTATATTGGGCAGCTGACAGTGCAGACTTGAAGTCATCATCATACATGGATTGCTGACATTCACCTGTGTTTGTTTCAAACAGTACAATAAAAAAGGTGAAAAACCATTTGCTGTGAATCTGAGCCACAGCAAAAGCATAGACAAACAATACATTGGAGGTGAGTTTTGGGTGGGAGGGTGTCTTATACTCTAGGAAATTATGGTAAATAATGTTTAAAAGTGCTTGCGGTAGGGCCTCGATTTAAAGAGCAGCAGTTGGAAATGACAAAATCAGAAAAAAGTCTCCACCCATGAGAAACATTTGCATTAACACAGCTTAAAATCATTTTAAAAAAAGAACGCAAGATGGCCACAATTGGCCTGTATCAAACCCAGGAGGTTAATATTTATATTAATGATGTAATATTGTTTTGTTCTGATTCACTGATGGTGTAGTGCTACACTCGCCTGACTTGTGAGCGGCAGCGTGGGATCGGTTCCCACTCACTGATGGTGTGGACGTGGGTGTGAATGGTTATTCGTCTATCTATGTCTTGCGACTGACAAGTGACCAGTTCGGGCTGTCGTCCACCTTTCACCCGAAGTTAACTGGAATAGGCTCCAGGATGTTTAGTTCTGTGTCATTTGTGCTTGCAGTTGACATTGGTGGAGTTCCAAATACGCTAGTTGGGCTTCTGCATGCACGTGTCGGTTTGTGTGTTCTGTGTAAACCCGGACTTGTCGTGTAAATCCAGTTTAAGAGGGGTTGAAGACAAAAGATAATAAATCGCGAGACCTGTTTTCTCCTCCAGGTGGACAGAATGTCCTTCCCATGTGGATGCTCCAGAGATGGTTGTGGCAACTTAGCGGGCCGTGTCGAGTTCAACCCTCTTCGTGTCCGAACACACTACCTGCACACTATCATGAAGTTGGACCTGGAGAAGAGGAGAGTGCTGCTACAAGTGCCCGGGGAGAAGTACGCCGAGTCGGACCCTGTGTGCCCTCCGTTCTCCAATTGCCCCGCATCCCCGGGCCCGGAAGAGAGCGGTGTGCGTGCATGTCTTTTGGAGGCAGAGGAGGACATCCTTGAGCGGGAGAATGAGACTGCCGTGTTGCACCTGCAGAGCGCCGTGGAGCAGGAGAGGCGGGCAGAGGAGCCGCAGGTGGAGGAGGTTCTTCTGCAGGGGCCTTTCCCAACCGGGACCGCCGTGCTCTGCATCAACCAAGATGAGGAGAGTCCCACAGACCTTCTCAGAGACTCCGCCCCTCTCCACTACTACCAACTTAGCTCCATCGAGCCGGCCATCCTGGAGCCGACAGAAGAGGAGGTTCAGGAGGCAACAGGAGACGATTGTTTAGGCAGCCGGTTCCAAAGTGATCATTCGAAGCTCCACCATCGTGAAGAGTGCCGAGAAGAAAGCGCGGAAGCAGCGGTGGCGACGCACCCTCTTCCTCCTGACGTTTAGGCCGAGCTTCTCTGCAGATATTTTGCACAAATAAAACAACATTTCGCGTCGAACTCAGTTGCATTGGTAGAGGCTGGAGCACATGGAGATCAGGAGTCATACGTAATGGTATATGCAGTCACATGACTTTCATTGTGAATTGTGTTGGGGGTAGTAAACACAGCCTTATGCAAAAAAAAAAAAAAATGCAGGTGAACGTCCTGCTTGCTAACTTCGGAGACATCCAAGAGAAAAAGTGAGTGACTTCACTAACACGTTGAATCGCAGCAGATGTGTCTGAGCTGCGGTCCAGCCAAATGATGGCATAAACTGACCTAATAATCCTGGAAATACTTGTTTTCTTGTGTACTGTACAAGTGTTTGTGTGATTGCGAGGCCAAGCCGCCGGTGTTTGCGCACACGCTGAGCTCGTCTGCGCCGGCCTTTGCTCATCTTTCACAAACGCGATCCTTGTGTCGTCGTTGCAATGCCTGTGATATTATGACATCTTTGTGTGATGGATCTCTTGTGGATGAGGTGCTACTGGAAAATTGTCAACTTTCATCCACCTGGAGTTGTGCTAGAATGGTAGTTTTGTAACGCAGATTTCCGCATTACGTTCACAACGCTGCTTAAATTCAATGTGATCTTGTAATGTTTACATACGGATCACTGCTAGCCACTCTGGACCACTTCTGAACAGACAGACAGACATCGTTGCACTTTGTACTGTATTCTTCTTCGGGAAATAAAAGATTGGTCTAGACTGCAAGCTATGCCGGCTGCAGAGAGCAATGTTAGGCCTGTTGCCCGGCTGGACCTGTTCCAGTGTGTCCTCAAACAACCCCTAGAGTAGAGTACATTACCCGCAGCCCTGTTGTAGCCCTATTTTAACACTAGACCTGTTCTGGTGTGTAACCGTGGGCCTGCTCTAGAGTGTAATGTCTGTCACTCCTCTCGAGTGCAACTTTGAATGATTCTAAGTAGGGGTATGCCAGTAACGATATCAATGTGCGAGTGTGTGCGTGTAGATAAGTCCTCCTCAGCAGTTGTTGGCACTATACTGAGGCAGTTTGACACATCAGCAAATCCTCCTTTGCGTCAAAGAAAGGTTTTTGTTCAATTTGTTGTCATTGTGTTGAATGAAATTTTATGTCAAAAGTACTAGAGGTATCGCTACTCCTTTATTGGTGAGCAGAGTGAATACTCGTTCTGATATTGCTCTTTAAAAAGCTGGTGTTGAACGTCCCTAATTCTAATCATCTCTATCGAGAGTCAAACTTCTATTTTAGAGTCTAACCTAAAATTTTCCCTTGAGTGTCATGCCAGGCCTGTTCTAGATTTTAACTCCACAGCCTGTAAGTTGTCACCTAACCTTGCTCAAGCATGTTGTATGCCTTTTATTTGACTACCTGGTGGCCCTTCTTTAGTTTATCCTTAAACCCACGCTATACTGTCTGACCAGATGTTCTAGAATGTAAACGTGGATATGTTCTACAGCACAGGTGTCAAAGTCAAGGCCCGGGGGCCAGATCTGGCCTGCCACATCATTTTATGTGGCCCGCGAAAACAAATCAAGCATGTCAAGTTCCATGATGCTTGCTGAAGTCTGAACCAAAATTTCAAATTGTCGTATGTAATCCACAATAACAGTCATTATTGTTGACTTCTGATTTTAAAACTAGTTATCCATCAATTTGTTGTGCATTGTGTATGTAATATGTGGAGGTTATTGAACATTTATATGGTTTCCCAAAATTCATAACGCCGCTCCAAGGGAAACCGTAACTACAAAGTGGCCCAGGACAAAAATGAGTTTGACACCCCTGATAAAATCAGGGCCTGTCCAAGCCTATCCTCGAATCAAATCTCGAGAGTTTACACTGGAACTATTATGCGTAGACGTTAAATTTCCCTTTAGACTCCGACCATAACTTGAGTCTGACAAAGGTTATGTTCCAAAATGTAACCTGGACCTGTTCCAGAGGCTTGACTCATAACCAGCCCTTGAGTGTAGCTCCAGATCTGTACTACAGTTTAACAAAATGCCTGTAGGCCTGGCAAGTAAATGTCCATCTGCTCTGGAGTGAATGTCCTGTCCTCGAATGTCACCCCTGGCCTGTTGTAACTGGGTAGTCGTTGATCTTTTCTTTTCAATCCAACCTTTTCACAAGTATAGGTCCCAAATAAAATCTGCGGGAGTGTGTCAGGAGTGTGAAGTCTTTTTAACTGTTCGAGAGTCACACCTTAACTGGCTCAAGAGGGTTAGGTGGCCCTTCTGATATTCTGTAATGATTCCTCTGGCCAGCTTTGGGACTTTTCAAGAGCCCTAAGGCTCTCGTACAGAATACCATTAGGCATGTTCTACAAACTTGGTCCTACACGGAGCCTGTACTCGAAACTATGCTAAACCAATTCTAGAATATAGCCTCGGCCTGCTCCAGAGTGTTAGGGCTTATTTGTTCTGAAAAGTTCCCCCGACCTGTTCTAAAGCGTAGCATTGGATCTGTTCAAGAGGGTACCTCAGACCTGTTCCTGTTAATGTTTCCACAAGTCTGGCAAATCCAACCCGTTCTAGGGTACCAGGCCAGGTCTAGTCTAGAGTGTAACTGCAGGCCTGTTGTATAGTGTATGGTGAGTCCTACAACATTTTTCAATATCCCTCACATGAATGATGAAGTATACTATATGTATTGATGCGTCTAGTGTAACAGCAGATTTTTGCACCGCCGCCTCTGAACAAGAGATGTGTCACATGAAGAAAAGAGCGTTTCAAGAAAAATATGATCTTGTGTGGTGCAGCTTGATAAGTGTGTGTGTGGGTGTGTGTGTGTCCACAGATGTACTGTATTTAGGGGGCTTGGGAAGCATAACAATGAGGAAATCCTGTGTTTTGCAAAGGTGCTTTTTTTTCTGTAACGCTTCATGCAGGAGGTCAAGGAAGGCGATTGCTGCTTTACTACGACACATTCTTGTGCTTATGACAAAATCGTGTCTGTGACGTTTTAACTTTTATGCTATTTAAATGTCATTTAAAAAAAAAACAACAACACTAAACCATCTTTTTCAATGTGCTGACATGTATGAGATGTTGATGTCATTATTTGCCTTTTATTGTTTTGTCTTAATCCAAGTGTGCTTCACCAAAGCAGTGGTCTTCACTCTCCTGAGAGGATGACTCTGTAGTTGTGGCCTCCCCTTGATCACGTTTGGCTGTTTGCGATCATTCTTAGTATAAACGTGTATGCGTGTGCGTGTGTGCAAAGGATAAGTGTGATTGTTGGAATGCTGGAAAGACTTATAAAAGAGCTGTGGAGAGCCGCTCTCCGGAATCTGTTCCCTAAAAGTGGACAAAATAAGGTCTTTTTCTATATAAAAATAAATAAAGTGCACATTTAAGACAGGTGTCTGTGTGTTGTCAGTTTTAAATGTACTCACACACTTTGTGATTCTCAATGTTTGCTATTCTCAAATTAGTGATTTTAAAAACACTGCTAATTGAATTTTGACAAAGGAAATATCAGGGCAGTAAATCAGTTATTGCTTTTCTCAGATTGCCTCAGAAGCATCATTATACACATGAAAAGTCACCAAAATTATTTTGCTGTATTTTTTTCATACTTGTTCTATTGTGGATGCATTTATTAAAATGTATTGCATACAGTGCACTTTTCATTTAGGTTTTCATGTTAAAAAAAAAAAGTTATTTTATGCTTTCGTAGTTATCGCTTTTAACCCCTTAAGCAGGGGCACCCAACCAGTCGATCTAGGGGAAAATGGAAAAATAAGATTTGTGTGTCTGTGTGCGTGTTATTAATATTCTATATTTTTGTGTTAGTGCACACTACACCCTAAGCATCCGCTTAGTTTCACTTTCACAAAAATATCATTTAAAAAAATAAAAGCGAGTCACCTTTTACCTACGGCGGCGCGTGACCTGCATCACCGGAAGTTGTTAGCGGTTAGCAGTCTGCACTTGCTTGCGATTAGACCTGTAGCCATATATATTCTTTTTGTTTTTAATTCTCATTCAAAGTTTGTTTCATGTACAATTCGCAGATGGCACTGGGAAAGAATTGAAATCTGAAGTGCCAGGAGAAAAAATGTAAACGATACACGTGAGCTACTATAGTTAAGTTGTTACACTGAAGACGCTGCCAAAGTGCGTCCCATGACGCCGCGTCAGGTGTCGACTAAGGTAGGCACCGATTCCTTTTTACAAATTCACAAGCTCTTATATCGACTTTATTTTTCTCTTTCGCTCATGTTCGGGGCTGTTATGGCTGTTACTCATCGTGGCATGCGTGCACGTGCGGTAGCGGGTCGATCACGGGAGGTCGGTTGCTTGAAAAGTCGATTCTCGGTCAAAAAAGGTTGGGCAGCCCTTCCCTGAAATATTTTGTCCCCATTGGCTTTATTGGGTGCCCTACATTTAATGGCCATCGGAGGGCAGCACTGATTCACTGCATGGCTGCAATCTCGTCGAGTGACGTCACAACTTTGGCCCGTTGAGTGCTTGACAGGAAACCTCCTCAGACGAAGGTCAAGTCGGCCCGTCACACAGTCTATGCGTTTATACCATTACCATCCACCATGAATTGATTCCAAAAAAGTGAAATAAGTGAAAGAATAGCTTCCAGATCTGGAATTAAATCCATCCCATTAGCTCAGTGTCTGGCTTTGTGCCGGGCTTTGTTCTTGGTGGAAGTTTCATAGAATGCACTCACAGTGGGGCCTTTGTGCATTAAACAGCAGTAGGCAATATAATGTAAACGTGCTTGATGATCGAGAGAAAAAAAAAAAGATGACTCCATCTCTTTGGTATCCAAACTGTACATTCTTCCTGATGAACCTGGCAGGACGCTCTAATATGAAAACCTTTGATGTGTATTTTGTTTTTGGTACTTGTACCCCCCTGGACATTTTGAGTTAGATTCCCAGATGGCTTTCAACATGGCTCCAAGGGTCAATGTTTGAATTGGGATATCATATTCCTTGTTGGGTGTCTATTAAATTCTGTTGTCATTAGGGTGGGGGCAGTGTTTCCACAGTTGCCCTTTTTTTCTTTTTTTTCTTTTACTAGAAAACACTTTGTCAACAGCACATTCTGTTAATAAAATCTTTATATGGAATGGACACATATGTTGTCAATGTCTTCAAATTGTGACACGACTCTTACATGATGTTACTCCTTTAGATGGGAAGTTG